TGAAATCCCTTTCCATGAGCTTCTCACAAAACAAAGTAATACTCAACAAGCGTTCGTTCCATGATTTCAATTCTGCCATGAAGTTTGGTAGCTGTTGGAATGCTTTATTCAAAAACAGTCTCTGTCAAAGTTGAAAGGAAAGTACTAATCTAATATCAACATGAGACATGGAGCGAATTTGTTTAGCTAGAGATGCAGTATGAAAATTGAATACAAGTCGAAATTGAGCATGAATCAAGTGAGTACTTCTTTTGCCAAACTTCCAGTTTGAGAAGGGAAGGAGGGTTAACGTAGAGGCTACCCTACCTTCACTGACAAAAGAAGAGCGCGCATGACTTGCTCAAGTAGGGTTAACTACCCCATTTCCAGCGTATTAAGCACAACCCGCATTTATTTTTTCTTAATCTAGCGCATTTTAGCACCAAATGGAATGTTGTAATTACTGATGGCTTCCAAATTTATTTACCTTTCCGTACGTTCCGTAAGATTTGATAAAGAGAAACCAATCGTTGAGATATTTTCAAAAGTCTAACACTGCTTCTTGACGTCAAACTCGGCTTACGGATTCTAAACTCGGCCTAACGCATTGAAACGCCATTGAAACGCCAATGAATTCACCTCGGCCTATCGAATGAAGATAAAAATTGATTCGGTTGGAGCGCTTCTTTTGTTTTTGGGAATAATGGGTGCAAACTTTTATATCACGCATTCTTATTGACTTCGTTTGGTAGCTTATTAACTAAAGTATCGTACCAAACGCATAATAGACTTGTTAACTCTGAAATCACGGATTTATTTGAAGTTTTCTGCTCGATAGGCCCACAATAGGCGATGAGGCCGCAGTAGTTCTCTACCCTACTATCAGCGGCAGGGAATAGATCTAACACTGTATATCACTACCTAAAGTCTACCGTTGACGAAAGCATTTTTCAGCCCAAGTAACTGTTTACTAGAGTTCTGTAGACCATGATAAAACTCGATAAAACTTATAACTTACTTGGGTGGTAGGCAGTGTAGTCCATAAAAAATAACCATGAACTGACGATGAAATAACCATACAAACACATTTTATTGCTGACAATTAACCCTATTATAAATGTATTGTATTGGTCAAATGACCACAGTATGACCACAATAAGAGTACTTCCGACTGTCTTGAGGTTAGCAGTACATTTTTGTGTTATCATAATTGTCAACAGTACATCAGTTTAAAAATGTATCGGATGGAGCTTCTCAGCAATCAGTTTTAGCTACAGAACAGCTTGTGCAGGCAAATATTGCCTTGTGCAGCGAAAAGCAGGCTCATTCCGCACTTATTCAGCTTAATTAAATAAACTAACCCAATGTGTGTACATGAAACAGTGTATTTTCATTAGTTAGGATAACGCAATTGATTTTTCCCGGCTGTCCTACAACCAATTAAACTGATTTTTTGCATTGAGAATGTGATGCTCTCATTTCGATTTACCCCATGGGGTGTATGTAAAAATGTGGGGCAAGTTGAAATGCTTTAAATGTTTCGGAAAACGCATTTGTGACCGGGATTTTCTATGTCTTCTCTTAAACTAGTGATTATTCACTTTTACTAATAGTTACGCCTTCCGTTTTAACTTACCCCACACTTCAACTTGCCGCGGTGTACCTTAAGTAATTTATGGTGGCCGGAATCCAACTTCAACACGATTTATTAACCGTATATAAGCTTTATATAGCAAAACAATGTAGATGAGGGATTTTGATGGTTACTTGGGTAGTCCTTAACTACTTCAATGAAAGGAATCCGATTTACTCAAGAATCAAAGGAGGACATCTTTGCCCATTTTGCCTAATGGCTTTCGGTCTAACGGCATTTGGCCTCATCACCCGGAAAACTAAACCATTGATTCTTGTTTCAAGACCATCCTCGTTTCATGTGATCCAAGTCTTCTAACTATCAACAAAACGAAACAAGAACTAATACTCCGTTCACACTACAACCTATCTAACGTTATTCAGCCTATCTTAATATCAGAGTTCGTACATCAAGTTTTCACTGGAAATAATACGTAAGAAGTTTGATATCAAAATACTCTATATCACGATATATAGGCTATGGTGTAAACGGGGTATTAATTCTTGCTTCATTTTGTTGATAGTTAGAAGACTCGAATCTCATCAAACAAGGATGGTTTTCAAACAAGAATCAATGGATTAGCTTTCTGGGTGATGGGTCATTAGACCAAATGCCGTTAGTCCATACACCGAAAGTCATTAGGAAATATGGGTCACTAGGCTGAATGGGTTATTAAGTCGAACTTCTAATAGTTGTTCACTTTCCATCATGAGGCATCTGTATTATTCCAGATTAAGAAAATGATTAACAACAAATTAAGTTGTCAGAATAATGTCGATACACAGTTCATTCAGGATGTCAGAAGCCATTGCTGCAATATGCCAAGAAAGAACCGTTAAAGTTTCAATGATGGAAAAATCTGCTATGAAAAATATTTATCTAAAAAATCTTGAAACTCGGAAGACCTGTTCATGATTCAAAGAAGGAAAAATCTTCTACGAATAATCATTACATAAAAATGCATCAGCGGAGGTATCGCAAATCTTTCCAAGTCTCAGTTCTTAAAATTTTGTCTACGTCCATGATCATAAATTTTATCTGAGTTGCCAAATTTAGAAAAGTTTGCTAGCACGACCGAGTTTGGGATGCTAATTTATATTTCTTAGAATGAGATCTTGATAAAATTAAAGATTTTTATTTTTATCTAGAAAAATACAATTCAAATATTTAAATGATAATTCCAGAAAAAATATACTTTTATTTTGTCAAACCATGGAATCCCTTATGAAGAGCATTTAAGTGGGTTGGGCTCACCACTCAAAAGCTAATATTCAAGATTGTGTTATGTTTTCAATATCGGCCTAATGGCGTTCGGCCTAATGGTGTTCGGTCTAATGGCGTTCGGCCTAATGGCGTTCGGCCTAATGGCGTTCGACCTAATGGCGTTCGGCCTAATGGCGTGCGGCCTAATGGCGTTCGGCCTAATGGTGTTCGGCCTAATGGCGTTCGGCCTAATGGCTCTACACCATCAAAATATGCGTCTTGTGACCTGTTCTTGGCGAAATTCGAAATTCGGCCTAATGGCCCATTTGGCCTTATGAACCATTTGGCCTAATGCATCATTTGGCCTGATGACCAATTCGGCCAAATGGCGTTCGGCCTGATGGCGTTCGTTCTAATGGCGTTCGGCCTAATGGCGTTCGGCCTAATGGCGTTCGGCCTAATGGCGTTCGGCCTAATGGCTCTACACCATCAAAATATGCGTCTTGTGACCTGTTCTTGGCGCTATGGAATTTAATATTGGTTGACTAAAGGACGTGCATTTGTACTACCACTCTTCAAAGAGTAAACAGTTCGAAAAAGTAGTGTAAATTTATGTTACTATGAATAAGTGAAGCTTCATATATCCTACAAGTTTACATAACAATTTTACAATACCAATTTAAAGTTTTTTCACCCAAAATTACTAGATGAACTATCATTTATTAAGCCGTTCATATCAACTAGTCTGTGATGAGTACAAGAAAAAGGGCCGTTGGTACTATTACCCCGTGGCACGTATTACCCCAGTTCACCATTTTTCAAAATTTCTCAATAGTGATTGAATAATACAGCTCATACAGGAAATCTTATCCATCGAATGGTTTCAGTGAAACTCGTCCATCCATTTTAAGTGTAATCAACACAGTATTTACCAAGCCAGCCGTGTGATGCATTTTGGTAATAAATTAAGTAAAATTCATTCAAAACATGACACTAAAGTGAGCATCAAAATGAATCAACAACCGAAAAAAAATCCTTTGCTAACTGCACCAGCAGCATTAGTATTGATAAGCTTAAGGTGTTTCCTTGTAGAGTCCATTTTCCCATCACACCTCGCAATTTAAAGAGCACGCAACTCAAGATCTACACGTGCATTCATAGAAACCTTATTATTTTTACATGTAAAAGGACTTTACAGGGATTCACCTTAAATGGATCCTACACAGCTGAAATTGATCCACCAAACACCGCACCCAAAGATGATAAGCCCTTATTCAGTCTAATATAAAAAAAGTGCAATGAAGTTTTGTTCGGTCTCTTGTTCATCTGATTTAAAGTTTAATAATGGGGAGAAAGTTGGTTGTAAGAACGACTAATCACCTTTAAATTCAGTCTGTTGTCAATCTTCTTTCTACACCTTAAATCAGCCAACAACCAACATTTGTTCTTTCTGTTCAGCTACAATCCCAGTCAACCAGAAGTTGTATAGCAATGTACAGATAGAACCTTAATGGTACTACAGAAGTCCAAATTGCATATGAGAATGAATTTAATAGTGTTTAAGTTGTATAATATGTTATGAATCGTACAAGACTATCAAATAAATTGGATAAACTCGTAATACTTGTCAAACTGAATTTGTTATTATACAACAAATCGTATAAGATGCCACATTAAATATTTTACTAATTAATTCTCAATTTGCCCGCTAATTTCTGTATTACTTTCGACTTTTTCGTAGATTTATATGCTTGTATATCATAAAAACAACTTTGATATACATGCAATCTGGTTGACTGGGTCATTGATTGTTATGCATCACCATGATTTAATTGGTGAAAGAGATTTTGTTTTATTTTTATTTTGTTCTTGTATGATCAGGCTCCATTGCTGTAGCTTTACGGAGCCGAAAGCAAAAGATATAATATCATTCTTTTAAAAAAATTGAGTCGCCATGTTCTTCTCAATTCTAGATTCCGTTTTCATGGCTTCATTGGAACGAATTGTATCAGAACCATGAAACATTTCCATCAATTGCTTTTTGTTATGGATGCATCATTCAATGGTCGACCTACATTGATGTTCAGTCAAAAACCCTGTAAACAATCCCTTTAGTAATAAATCATACGTTTTAGGAGCTTCTGCAACGATCAACCCAGTAATAAGAACATCTATGTATACTTACAGCAATATCGGATCGATTGGCAGTTGTTGCCGGTCGGTGTGCTCGGCGTTGGGGTGCTCATGTTGCTGCTGGGTCCGTTACTGGTGACTAACATTCCGTTGCCGTTGGAGTTGGATAGATTGTTCACTAGATTGTTTCCGATGCCGACACTGATACTGTTCCCAATGCTATTCCCAATACTATTTACCATAGTATTGCCACTCGTTTTCATCGGCTGGGTCATTATTGTCGGAGCGCTAAAGTTGCCGCGTTTGATTGATTTCCTCTTCCACTGATTGAGAGAAAAGTTTAGTTTTTTTTTTTCTTCCCCCTTAGGTACTGTAACTCTTTCGAACAACTTGTTCAACACACACACTCACTCAATCGGGAAAGAACACACGACAGTGTCCTAATTTTTCTCGATTTTATTATACCTCTTCCAGCACTTGGTTGCGTTTCGCTCTTGGGCTTACGGTTTTTTTTTCTCCGTCTATTCGCTTCGCTTCACTCTTCTAGGTTCACTTCACTATGGAGACCAATCTTAGCCTACTGCTGTTGCTGCTGCTGCTGCGGATGATGAAGACGGTGATTGGTAGGAAGATCGCGCTCTGTCCGCGCAGAACACACGAACGCACAGATGAAGAAGTGACACAGAAAACAAGAATTCGTTTATAACTGTTTTAGATCTGTTAGGCCTCCACGCGGGACTGGTCTCTTTTCCTGCTTGCTTATCTGCCGTTTGCGTTTTATTGTAGTAGGAGATTCTAACTCTGATATCAGATAAGTACTATCTAATAGCATTCACTGTTTCTTTGCGTTGTTTTTCGCCTTAAAGGCCCACCAAGCCAATCGTTGGCGACACTTGATTTAAGAAACCCATTTTCTTCGGAGCACACATTTCAATCACTATAAATTCTTTTTTTTTCAATATTTACGTTCCTCGGCAGCTCTAAAATCCTTCACTTAGTTTGTATTCCTGACTATTGGCGAATGATTCTTCACATTTGTACTTTCCGTTGTCGCTTGCAGTTGCTGGGAGCTTCACTTAACTAAATCCGCTGACCTAGATCCGTAGAACCAAACTATCAAATTTCAAGAACCCTCTTCAGCTCAGAGAAGAGATTATCCGTTTTGCACTCGGAGATGCCCAATAATCTACCGACTAGACACGCGACCTGAACGCGTTCACATGCGCGCGTACACTACACTACACTGCTGGTGGAGTCGCTGAGGTCCGAAAGAAGGCCCGTCAACTTCTTGGGAGGAGGACGGAAAAAGACTTTCTTTCCTCGGCGCGGGTACGATCTAATCTGATTGGTGATTCTGCTTTCTAGCTGCCAACAGGTCCCCAAGACACCACAATTCGACGAGTCCAAAAAGCGTCCGCAGGAACTCACTTCTTCGAGAGCCGCGCGTGGGTATAAGAAAGAGTGTACCAAAACACAAGAAGAAAATCCCACCAAAGCGAACCGCAATTCAACCACCCAGTCAGTCAAGTCAGCTTTTCGCTCTTTCTCTTGGTGAGTAACTCTCCGCCGCGGCTGCAAACACTCACTTGCAGTCCCAGCTCAAATAACGTGCGCTAACACATTCATACGGTAGGTAGTCCTACAACCCGCTTAAGCTAGAAAGCTTAAATTCCTCGGAGGAAAAGTTCCACCATCAACTGCCCCCCGGAGATCTATGTATGTTAGCATGCTCGCTAGGTAAAGTGTGTTTTGATTGTTGTTTGTGCTCTTTGGGGAGAAGTTTTTTTTTCTTCGCTTGCTGCTTTAATTCGTGAGTGGTGGAACAAGAAGGCGTTCGTATTCTACACTTTTGAGGTTAAGCCTTGTTCGAATGGCGAGAGACGACGGACGAGGCGAATGAGCAATCATAAGAGAGGGGTTTGGGTGTATTTGCGGTGATGATCATGTGCGTTCATGGGAACAGAAGAAAGCAGCAAAGCGCAACAGCTGAAGAAAGTTTCTATCGATGGCACTGTGGGAATGGTGGACGGCCGGGGTGGCCATAAAATAGCTGTTTTGGGGATTAAATCTGTGGCGATGTGCTTCAAATTCATGTGCAGTAGGGTAAGATGGACTAAGGCGGATGCAAAACTTCAGCACTATATTAAGTCAATATTATCTCCATTTTATTTGATAATGTTTTATCGTGAAACGAATTTATATAGTCACTTTTTTTCAAGCCAGTCACTGTTTCTTGTAGTAAGCCACTATTTTCAACTATTTTAGTACATTTTTTTTTTTGCAATATTAATCATTCTTTTTCCAGTAAGGACAGGTCCTCAGGATAATCAAATCGATTACTAAATTTTGTTTTTTTTTTTTCCTTTGGTTTATTTTTTCCGTCGATCTTGTTTTCCGTGCTGAGCACCAATGCTACCGACGTGCCAGGAAGGCAGCTCCCACACCTGGACCCTATCTATCGACCCATCAACTCATGAACCGGGGACCAACGGCTTTACTTCCCATCCGAAGGAAGGCGTGATCAGAGATGTTATGCCTCAGAACATCCCGGCGGCGCCGACTGGGATTGAACCCAGGCCTGCTGGGGTGAGAGGTAATCACGCTTACCACTACACCACCGGCGCCGTTTATACTAAATTTTGATCTTATTTTATAACAATTCGAAGGTGATGTGCTTCTATAGAGCTTTTAGGCGTTTAATCGTCATTATTTATCTACAGGATGTCACTCATTTGGCTACATAAAATTCCCTGAGTTTTCCAGGTTATTCCAGAACTTTTACTTCAGTTTCAATCAATCAAATGCATTAAATGTTGAAGTTCAATGCTTTCTTCATTTTAGTAAGTCTAAGATCTCAAAATATTCAACGTCTTCAAATTTCATGTAACATGTACATATTCAAGATAAAAAAAATCAGAGTGTCTTCTTATTCTTTATTTTAGTGAATTTTAGCCATTGGCTAGTACTTCACTTTGCAGTAAAAATATCAGAGGTATAAGGCCTGCCTTGGGAAAAACAAACACATTTGAAATTTACAGAGCTTTGGTAAGACAACATTTAAAATTTGGGAAACACAGAAGACACTAGCGTGCACAGGAATCTTGTTAAGGAGGGGCAATTTTGTTTCTATGGTGCATTTAATCTGGGGACGGGGAGTACTTTAAAGTGCGTGGGAGATGGTGTTGTCCACCCACCATTGTTTCCATTGTTTTAATTTAGCTAATTTTATTCATTTTTTGCTCCGGCGGTGGTTAATCTTCTTCAAGGCAAACTGCTTTCAGACAGCCAATGGAAATTAGCAATTTAATCCCATCGACGATGTCTTTGATGAACCGTCCTAAAGTACCGCCGTACTTTAGGACGGTTCATCAAAACATCGTCGATGGGATTAAATTGCCAATTTCCATTGGCTGTCTGAAAGCAGTTTGCCTTGAAGAAAATGATGCCGAAAATTCAACATGTCTTAAAGATGATATAAAGGACAAACCTGAATTTATTGTAGCGTACATAAACAGCTGTAACTATTTAACAACGGTAACAAATGAATTTAAATTTTCGGAGAAGATTTTTAGACGAATTTTTAGTAAGACAACAACAGACCAAAGTTCAATGGCAAATTAATACCCACTTTTCAATTAGGGAATCCAAAAGCTGTCTTTGTACAGCTGCGATAAAGTCCATCCTCAAAAGTCCTCTGGAATTATTTTTAGAACTCTTCTTGACTTTTACTCAGAACACCTTGGAACTGAAATTCCCTTAGAGTTTCAGAAGAATTTCCTCAAAAAATTATTCCCGGAATGAGCTAGAAATTACCAGTACTCCCATGAAATATTCCTCAAAATCCCTTTGGAATTTCACTCAAAATTTAATTTTCTCGGTAATCTTTTCGGAATTATCTTGGAACTATATGTTAGATTCACTAAAAATTGCACGCAAAATTTTCTTGGAATACTCTCTAGAAATCCTTTGGAACTGTCCTCAGGATTCAATATCCTTGAGGTTCTTCTCAGATTTTTTTAGAACTCTCCTAAGAGCTCTTTTGAAATTAGAACTCATTAGAACTCTTTTCTCAGAACACTTTGGAACTGAATGATCTAGAAATTATCCTCGGAATTCGCTTGAAATTTTGCTTAAAATCATCAAAAATTATCTTGGAACTATCTACAAGATGCACTAGAAAGTATCCGCAGAATTTTATTGAATTCTTCCCAGAAATATTTTGGAACTGTCATAAGAATTCAATATCCTTGAGGTTCTTCTCGGAATATTTAAGAACTTTTTTATTCTCAGAACACCTTGGAACTGAAATTCCCCAAAATATTCAGAAGAATCTCCTCTGCATTCTCCAGAAATTCTTCCCAGAATAAGCTTGAAATTATCCTCGGGATTCCCTTGAAATTTTTCTCAACATCCCTTTGGAATTTCATTCAAAATTTGATTCTCTCAGTATTCTTTTCGAAATTATCTTGTAAATTATTCGCAGAATTTTCATGGCATCATCCACAGAAATCTTTTCTTTAAGAACTGTCCTCAGAATTCAATACCCTTGAGGATCTTCTCGGCAGTCAAGTTTAAGTTGTCCGCACATTCACCAAAACGTTGAAGTTTTTCAACCAGAAATGTTCAATAAAGCTTGCCCCTCCATTCACCAGAACTGTGCAATTTTTACATCAGGAATTTTCAATTCAGCTTGCCTCTCCATGCAACAGATTGTTGCTAATCTTACACCAGAAATTTTCAATACAAACTTGCTTTCTGGGGGCAACACCTGAAAATTTCAATTGATCAGAACGATGTAAATTTTCCACCGTTAATGTTCAATAAAAATTGCTTCTCCAATCTTCTGATTGGTGCAGATTTCCTTTTTTTCATTTTCCACCAGACATTTTCAATATAGCTTGCTTCTCCTAACATCAGAATGTTGCAGGTTTTCCACCAAATAAAGCTTGCCCTATTTTCAGATTTTTCATCATAAATTGTCAGTAAAGCAGCTTCCCTCCAATCATCAGAATGGTGCACATTTTACACCAGAAATTGTTATTAAAGCTTGTTTCTCTATTTAACAGAAGGATGCACATTTAAGACCAATTTTTTCCAAAAAGCTTGCCTATCCGTTTACCAGAACGGTGCTTATTTTTCACCAAAAAATTTCAAGATAGCTGAATTTTAAATAAAGCTTGTGCCTTAATTTACCAGACCAGTGCAAGTTTTCCACCAGAACGGTGCACCAATTATTGTCAGTGAAGTTTGTTTCACCATGCACCTTTGTGGTGGAATTTTCAGGCTTTGCCTCTTAATCCACCAGAATGCTGCAAATTTTCCACCATAAATTTTCAATGAAGCTTGTATTCATTAGAACGATGCAAATTATGCACCAGAAAAATGAATAAACCTTGCTTCTACATTCACCACAGTGTAGCAAACTTTTCACCAGACATTTTCAGTTAAATGTGCACCTCCAAATTTTAAGCGTGATTAATTTTTCCAATTTTAATTTTGATTAATCCCTTCATGCACCAACGTGATGATATTTTTACACTAGAAATGTTAAATAAAAAGCTTTTTCTTCGATTTACCATCACGAAGGTGAATTTTATCAGCCTTAAATTTACCCTCTTCTTTTAACCCTCCATGAAACAGATTGAAAAAAAAATTTACACCAGAAATTTTTTGTATGCAACACACCACCGTGGTATAATTTTTTGACCAAAAAATTTCATTGAAGTTTGTCCCTTCATGCACCTCTGTGGTGCAATTTTCAGGCACCATCTCAAAGGAAATGACATAATAAAAGGTTTTCAGTGCCCTTATTTTATGAAATGAAGTTATTTTAGCTTCAAATCAAGTTATCAAGAAATTATTATCATGTGAATATAGATTTATCATGATTAATTTATCGGTGTTTTAATATTGTAAATTATTGTGAAAATTCCTGGGTTATAATTTGAATAGTTGTGTTGCTGTAGCGTCGTGCTAGTGTTTCGGTGCTACGCCTCCACTTCCGGAAGCATTGGCGTTCTGCCCCCTGGACAAAAAACGGGAAAGATGAATTTGCAGATTAGACTACGATGCTTCCACGTCGAGGACACAATACATAAGCGGTGAGATCTAACTGATTACAACTAGATATAAAAATATGAAATGCATCCTACTAAATACGTGCCATCTACAAAGCAGGAATTGCTTTGATGATGGAAGTGTACACGCAGTACCAATATACATTTTATATCGGTACTACGTGTATGCGGGGCTTGTTGTAAGTGAAAGTAACCTCGGAATGGACGTGAGTGACCAGGCATTCTGAAATGGGTTACTGAATCTCAACAGAGCTATCACCTTTCAACTTCCGGGCTAA